GAAGTAAAACTTGTTTTATATGATTGGAGAAGTTATCAATCAACATTGGCTATCTTCAAGATAAAAAATATGTTTAATTTTTATATTAGTTTCATTATTCTATCTTAATTAAAACTTATTTTATACTATTGCAGAAATTATCAATCAACCCTGGTAATTTTGAAGATAAAATATTTAATTTTTATACTAGATTCATTATTCTCTCTTAAATAAAACTTGCTTTATATGAATAGATACCTTAATTATTAATCAAACTTTGTTATTTTGAAGAGAAATAAATTACTTGATTTATTTGATACCTTTTTCATTATTCGATTAGGTGTAAAATTTAATTTATATGACTGAAGGTTTTTCTTATTTATCAACCTTCGTATAATCGAATAGAGTCATTAAAATCACGTGTCTTGTAAGATAGAAATAGGATTAATTATCGCTTTAAATAATTTATGAATTAATTATATCCTGTGTTATTTTCACGGATCGTCACAATGAACATATTGCTTCTTATTTAAAGATTTCATATCAATATATGCCCAATGATAGAATCACGACTATAGTGTTATTAACGCTAATGCAAAACTACACTTTTTTTCAATTTGTTTTTTTTAAATAAAATCAAACGCTTTTCATTTGGTAGCAACTCTATGAAATATTAAAACTTTATTCAAGAATTCGTTGGAAAATATTACTCTGGGGATGGCAAAACCATTTTATAGAGTGATTAAAATAAAATAGTATTTTTACGGGATCTAATTAGGTGCTTTAACTTGTAAAATTATATATTAAAAAAATCTTATGGTTATCATTATTATAATTTTATTACGAGTTGTTTTTGAGACAATATTTTACGAGGGTGCACATCTGTTTTAAATCGGTACAAAATCGGACAACAATACATATCAAGAACCACGACTACTTAATCGTATTTACCCGTGACCGATTCGAGGCATACCTAAATGTAAATGTTACTGGCTTAGTGATTGATTTTAAGGCTAACAATTTATTAAGATCATTGTGATTGTATATTACTTTTGTAGCGAACTGTTTTGTTACTAATAATTTATATATTTTTTGCTGTATAAACAAGTTTAAATCTTCAAAAATATTTGTACTTTCTAGTTTACTTACAAACTACTACTGCAATTCCAGGTTAGGAAAACCTTCTAAAAACGTTATTTCTTCGAAAGAAAATGCTTTATTAGACTGTCAATCTAAGAAAATATGCTACAGTATTTATACATATTTTTTTTTATCATTTTTACGTAATTATATTCTCTAATGAAAACGAGATATTATCACTTTAACTATTGATACACAAAACTGTTCAAATTAAGGAATGTATATATATAAAATAATTAATTCTAAAATTATTTTTATAATAAATAAATTATTTTTTTGTGCAAAATTATTTATAATTTTTGTGGATACCCAGGTATAAGTAGACGTCCAGTTCTGTTTTTGCTTTAAACAGAGAAAAATTACATCCACTGGAATTGCATTCTTGAGGCTTAATAAAGAAAATGTGTTCTAGGCAGAGAACATCTACACAATCATGAATATCCACAAAAAAAATCGGTTGTTAATATATATATGTATGCATGAATGAATGTATATATATATATATATATATATATATATGTATGTATATATATATATATATATATATATATATATATATATATATATATATGAATATATATATTTATGCATGTATTTATATATATATATATATGTATATATATATATATGAATATATATGTATGTATATATATATATATATGAACATATATATGTGTGTGTACATATATATATATATATATATATATATATATATATATATATATATATATATATATATATATATATACACACATATATATATAAGTTTATTACGTTAAAACTTATTTTTAGTGGATGCTCGTATTTGAAAACAGATGTCCTGTTTTATTTTCAAACAGTGCATATCTATCGACATGTGCGCTAGAAAAATAGTAACAGAAAATGTGCTCACCGACATGGTACCCCTTTGTAGGAGAAATCCCCGTTTTATCAGGTGTGCCTTATACCGCTTGCAAACAGAGAGCAATCAGCCTAGTAAAATTTTATTACCTATTTTAACGTTTGCAATAATAAACTTGTCCGATTATATATATATATATATATATATATATATATATATATTATATTTAATGAACAACAGACACTTTAAGGTACCATTACAATAATTTATTTCACCAAAATCCTTTTTAAAGGATTTCGGTCCTCTCATTTCATTGTTGGAAGTGTTACCTGATGATCCGAAATCCTTTAAAAAGGATTTTGGTGAAATAAATTATTGTAATGGTACCTTAAAGTGTCTGTTTTTCATTAAATATTAGCTCTGTTCTTCACATTGAGCTCTCAGGATTTCATCCTCCTTGGATTTACCAATTCGGTTTACCAAATTCTTCATAACTTAATTATATATATTATATATATATATTGTGTTTGTAGTAATAGAGATGTGTATAAAAGTGCGTGAACATAGCTTCAAATTGGAGAATGCTCTTTTCAAAAGACAAAAGTAATCTCTGCAGCGTAATAAATGTAGACATCAGTGGATGAATGTTCAAATAAATTATTGCAACAGAATCACAAAAACAATCTGCATGAATTGGCTGAAAACCCACTATTAGCTGGATAGATATGTTCAACATAATTATAAACTGAAACAAAGTAGAGTGAATGTTAATAAATGTTACATGTCTCTTCTGAATAGTTCTTTGAATTGTTTTATGTGATAATAAAACTCGAATTATTGACACGCGAGCACAAAGACGGAAGGACTTGGTGAAGATTACTTTTTAAAACATAAAAAGGAAAATAAGAAACCACAAAAATTATTTAAAAATGACTCATAGGCAATATTAAGATACGTTTTTTTCTGTGCCTAGGATCCATTGCAAAAAGAAATATTGGTATAACGTTCGTTTAACTTGTTTATATATATATATATATATATATATATATATATATATATATATATATATATATATATATACCAAATCCGTAAGTGTGAGTGGTTATTCCGGATTATTTCAAGGTCTTTTTTAATATAAAAATATTAAAATGATAAATCCATGACGAGAGCTCAATCAATAAGTTTATAACATATATGATGACTTAAACGCTATTTTTATTGGATAAACATATTTAGATAGACTCTCCGCTTATTTATTTAACAGTGAATTTATTTATTTTCGTCTACCGGCCTGAATATTAAAGGTTTCTTATTAAAGAAAAATATGTGCTCTCCGGCAGGATTCAAATCTATTCCCTTCTAGGCAGGAGAAACCATCGTAAGATCCGACGTGTTTTAAACACCCTCGGCCATGTTTAAGTAACAAAATCTGTCAGATTGATAAACAAATATCATCACCTATATATATATATATATATATATATATATATATATGTTAGCTCTATCTCTTATATTGAGCGCTTTCCAATAAATACCGCTTATATATAATATATAAATAGTAATATATATATATATATATATATATATATATATATATATTAATATATATATATATATATATATATATATATATATATATATACATACCTTTTCTTATAGTGTGAGTGTATTGGAAAATGTTTTTGGTGACACATTTCATCTGTTAGAATTTCATCGTGTTATATGTATATATATATATATATATATATATATATATATATATATATATATATATGTGTGTGTGTGTGTGTGTGTGTGTGTGTGTATCCGATTAAATCCTAACGCCATAAAACCTTTTTCCAATTTTTCATAATAAGTTCTCAATACTGTTTCTTAACATAAAATTATATATCTTTATGTCATATACTATGATATATATTGAATAAATTTATAACATTCCAAGTTATCTAGTTAACCGACTTCTGGTTTTTCCGTTGACACGCTCATCAGGGCAAGATGTTTAATAAGTCTATTAGGACTTATTGTCAGGTGCCATTTTTATACATTTTCTCAGCAAACGAACGTTAATTCAAACTCAAATCTCAAATTCTTGGCACACTAGAATTTCTGTAGAAATGTCACAAGGCTTAAATTTACAACCAATTTTTCTACATATATATATATACATATATATTTTTCTACATATATATATATATATATATATATATATATACAAACTTAACGATTGTTCATTTGTTTATTTTTAAATTGATTAAATTATAGATTCAAGATATATTTTTCGCCGAATAATAATCGCATATTCCATTAAGTTGTAGCTACATTTACTGCATATTACAAAAACATGGTTGATATTATTAATTAATATTATCATACTATAAATATTAATTAAGATTATCATACTATAAATATTAATTAATATTATCATACTATAAATTTATATTATATTATTTACTCTATTTTATAATTTATTCTGTATTTGTTTTTAATGAAAATTACTGAATTGTATCATATTTTGTTTATTTTTACTTTTCTAACATTTGAACGATATTTGTAAATTCTTGTATACTCTTTGTATTAAATGACCACGCTTAAATTCTGTAATATAACAGAACAGTTACATGCTAATAATCACAAAAATCAAATTCATTGTATTTTAAGCACGTGGCAACTCTCAAATTCTATGCTACATCTTCGATTTGTAATTATACAACTTTAACGCTATACGTTGTAATTTTTATATGTTAATATTTTCTTTTTGATATGTATGTATTTTCCGTTTAATACATAAAAGCCTGGTCCCATCTATCTATCTATCTATCTATCTATCTATCTATCTATCTATCTATCTCAACGACTAGTTTTCTCAGGCTGTTCACGTCTATCGATCTATCCAAGTCTGTTTATATCTATGTACACATTAGTGCATCAAAATGGATATATACGAAAAAAAAAAAATATATATATATATGCGTGTGTACACTAGGAGACGAACAAATCTGTACGGTAAAATTCAGGTATGAACAAACACGGATAGATTAGTTTAGTCTTGCACGTGATGAAACTTTATGTAACATCCTATGCTTATGGATAATAACTTAACAGTAACACACACTAAACTGTAAGGTGGTACACAGATAGATAGATAGATAGATAGATAGATAGATAGATAGATAGATAGATAGATAGATAGATAGATAGATAGATAGAAAAAAAAAACAGAGATAGATAATGAAAAGACATACATAGATAAATAATGAACGGGGATAGATAGATAACGAACAGACTGAGATAGATAGATAGATAGATAGATAGATAGATAGATAGATAGATAGATGAAAAGACTGAGATAGATAGATAGAATAGATAATGAATAGATAGATAGATAGATATGAAAAGACTGAGATAGATAGATAGATGATAGATAGATAGATAGATAGATAGATAGATATGAAAAGACTGGATAGATAGATAGATAGATAGATAGATAGATGAATAGATATGATAGATGAGATAGATATGAAAAGACTGAGATAGATAGATAGATAGAAATAGATAGATAGATAGATATGAAAGACTGAGATAGATAGATAGATGGATAGATAGATAGATAGATAGATAGATAGATATGAAAAGACTGAGATAGATAGATAGATAGATAGATAGATAGATAGATAGATAGATAGATAGATAGATAGATAGATAGATAGTTAGTTAGTAAATAAAACTAAGTTTAAGAACGTAAAGTATAAAAATATAGAATGCAAACAAATAAATATATATATAATGGACCGATATATGAAACTTTACTCTTCCACAATATTTTTTATATACTTTTTTTATTTAGTTGACATGTGAAGCACAGTAAAGTTTTATCTGTCGGTCCATTAAAAAGTGTAATCACATCTTTGTATAAGTTTCATGCATATATATATATATATATATATATATATATATATATATATATATATATATATATATATATATATATATATATATGCATGAAACTATGTTTATATATATATATGTGTGTGTGTATGTGTGTGAGAGAGAGAGTGTGTGTGTGTGTTCATGGTGTGTGTGTGTGCCTGTGTGCATGCGTGCGCGTGTCTGTATGGATAAACAAGCACTTTATTTTTTTTTTTTATTTTTTTTTTTTTTTATATTTCATATTATTACATGTATGTGTACATATGTCGGACGTGTTTCACCGGTGAACTGTGTTTGGCAAGGTAGTCTCGCGAACCAAGATTATTCTGGTGAG